CTCACTATCAATTTTGAAAGATAGTTTTGCAGGGTACATCAGTCTGGGTTGGAGGTTGTTTTCCTTTAGGGCTTGAAACACATCACTCCAAGCTCTTCTTGCCTTGAAGGTTTGCATTGAGAAGTATGCTGTGATTCTGATGGGCTTTCCTTTGTATGTGATTTGTTTCTTTAAGTACTTGTAGAATTTTGTTCTTCTGTTGGGTTTCTGGAATCTTAACAATTGTATGCCTATGTGTAGATTATTTTTGATCAAGGCTAGTTGGAGTCCTATATGCCTCGCTTATCTTTATGTCAGATTATTTTCCCCTGCTTGGGAAGTTTTCTGCCATCACTTCTTAAACAGTTTTTATGTCATCTGCACTCTCTCCTGTTTCTTCATTGACTCTAATCAGTCTTGTGTTATTTTCCTTTGCATCATCTAGCAGCTGCTGGATTGATTTCTTGTGGTCCTTTAAAATTTTAAAGAATTTTTTCTTTTCCTGGTCACTAATTGCAACCTTATCTGTATATCTGAAATTCTGTCTTCACCTTGCCTCATTCGGCTGCATAGACTTTCAATTGAGTTTTTAATCTCCTGGAAGTCTGTTTGCATCTGTTTTATGGATTCAGTTTGTTTCCTATGTTGGCATTCCATCATGTGGAAGCGTGGGAATCTTCCAGCATGTTCGGTGTGGTGATGTCCCATGACTTTGTCGTTGCTAATAGTGATCTATGAAAACTAATTATAGGTATTCTTCCTAAAATCCCTCTGTAATAGTTGAGTTGCCCATATTATGGCAAGGAATTCAAAACAGTTACAGAGTAATTGATCTTGTATGTATGTGTATACATGCATACTTATCATCACACTCAACTGTTTTGAATTCCCTACCATAATGTACGTATGTACTCATACATTCACATGAGAAAATGGCTTTTATATATAATTGACATCCTTTTGGGTCAAATTTGTTTCTATTCAGTTGTTGTCAATGATCACAGACTTTGTATTTTGCTATTGAAGATTTTGTTTTCATCTTTCAGTGTATTACAGTAGTTCAGCATTAGTACTTCTCAGTGGAGCTTTCCATGATAATGGAAATGTTCTTTGCCTGTGCTATCCAATATGGTAGCCACTAGGCACAAGTTACACTTGAAACTTGTTACATTTGAAATGTAACAGTGTGTATGAGGATCTAAATTCTTTTTACTATTAGTTCATTTTAATCAACTTAAAGGTAATAGTCATGTATGGTTAGTGGTTACCATTTTTGGACAACACAGTTTATACATAAAATATTTCTTAGCATGTCATGTATATAATAGAGTACTGTCTTGTTCACTTTCCTCATCACTCAGACACAATACCTGACACCGCCTAAAGAAAGAAAGCTTTATTTTTGGCTCACAGCTTCTAGAGGTTTCAGGCTATAGTATACTGGCACCAGAGAAGGATAGAGGCACATGGCCAAGAAATTGCTCATAGCATGGTGGCAGAGAAACAGAGCAAAGGGAGGACCCACAGAGGGAGATAGACCCTACCAAGCCACGCCCCCTGGCCTGCCTCCTCCAACCAGACTCCACTTTCTAACAGGCAGTCATAAAAGCCTTTATAATCCAATCACATTCCAAGAGCCCCACCTTCTGAGCACATGAGGCTTTGGGGAGACATCTAGATACATTTAACAAGTACTTAACATGCTGTTAGGTCTAAAAACAAAGTTTGCCTCAAAAAGAAATATAGAAGAAAATAGGAAAACTTGAGTAGATGTGACATTGAAAGTGACTTTTTCTTTTGAACTTTTAGTATTGTCAGCATATTTTTTCATCTGTGTCTGAACTATAAAAGATTGAGCAGCTGAAAAGAATCCTTTCACATAAATGTGAATACTATTTATAGTGGGAAAATAGCATTGTAAATGCGTGGTTTTACAGTATGTATAGCTGGTGCTTCTGTTCATTACTCAAGTGATTCAATATATTATTTCTCAA